ATATTATTGAGTTCAATAACTTCTAAGTCATGCTTTGTATTTTGAATCCATTCAGATAAACCATTTTCTTCAATAACATCTCCTTTTTGTGTTAAAAGAACTTTAATATTGTAAGCTTCTAAATGTAATTTTAGAGATTCAAACACTGGTAATGCTAAATCAATCTTTTCCGATATGTTAGATAAATTTTCTATGATATTCTTAAGAGATTTTCCTAATAAAATATTTAATGGAATAAAATGTCCATATTTGTCAAAAACTTTTTGCAAACTTATAAGTGGTTTCATATCTCCAAGTGCTTTATCTATGTCTTCTTTAAATTTTTCTGAAGGTTTAATATTATTTCTGTTTAATGTAATATTATATCGTTCACATTTTACTAGAAAATATGCCTTATCTTCATAACTTAGGTTATCTGCTAAAACTTTAAGAAACGGAAAAGAGCTTATATCCTCATTATTTTCAGTTGGGAAGATATTATTATCAATTAAAATTTCTTCTAAAATAGACTTCGGTTTTACGATTTCTAAATAAAATTTATCATTTGAATCATTTGAATCTACTTTAGGAAGATTAATTAGATCAATGGCATTTTCCCCACAGGTCTTTAATTTAAAATTTTGATCAATTATCAAACCTTTTAAAAGTTGAAATTCTCTAACCAATCTTACATATTTCGAATTTTGAGCCCAATTTTCTAAAGTTAATTTCTCTTTAAAATTAGCAACCCCAGGTTGTTTCTCATCTATAAATGGTTTTGTATCGAATTTTAATTGAGAAATGGGAACGAGATTATTATACGAAATTATTTCACCCGTATCATCTTGGTATAAATTATTCATCCAATCGGTTAATTTTTCATGAGTGTCTAAATTTATTCCGTCTGTTGTTATTATTTTTGGACAAAAATTCAGAGCGGATGAATCATTAAGTTGGATTTCTTTTTTGTGTTTAGCTGAATCATGTATCCGAGTTAAATAAGAGTTAAAAATATCGATTTGTGTTGAATTGACCGACTCAAGTCCATCGATAAATAATTTACCACCAATCAAGATCTTTCTTGGAACTAGATGACCGTACATTTCGTATAATGATTCTTCTTCATCCGTAAAGTTTGAAAAAATCTCTGATAAATCAGAGGTATAAGTAATTTCAGAAACAGGAAAATTAATACATATGTCTGATGATCGTAGAGATTCGTGAAGTTCAACGCCATTATCATCGGAATTAAAATTCAATAAATTTATACGTGAGTTATGATCATTTATGGAAGTATATACTGAAGGTTGCTCCTCATATGAACTCATATTTAATTCGCCATCTTCAGTAAATACAGCTTGTTTACTTGGTTTTATGCTATACCCATCCAAGAATAATCCGTAATTCAAATTAAATTTTTGAATCATTAGTTGTTGTTTAATCATCGATTTTAAAGTTGTAACAACATCCTGAATTGTCGGTCTCTTGTCCGGATCACCGTCCCAACATTCTAAAAAGATTGTTATTGTTAATTATTAGCGTGTGTATATTAGGGATGCAGGCTTTTTATTTTTTTAGCTACGTCACTCATTAAGTCAATGAAAGGTTGTAACTCGTGACATAGCTCGATATTATATAAATTATTATGATTTTTCTATGTGAGCATCTGCAGTGACGTTATTGACATAACTTTGTTACGGCAGTTACGTCGGTAAAGTTTACACCTCTAGTGTATATCTTTTTTTAAAAATAAAAAAAAAACATACGAAAAAAATAATTACTTACTTTCATAAAGAATACAATAATTTTTGGGCGTACCATCTACTATGACTTCTCTTAATCCTTGTGCAATTTCTTCAGCCAAAATTGAATTGTATTCTTTATCAGAAAAAGGTTTTTTTCCACTAGATAATTCCCAAAATAATACTCCAACGCTATAAACGTTGCTTTTCTCGTTCGATTCATATTTTTCTAATGCATCCGAAGATATTCCTTCAATATCAAATCCTCGTGGATCAGTATAAGGAATCGTATCTAAATAAGTTCGACTAGAATCTTTAATACGTTTACTTAATCCAGAATCTGCTAACCTAATGGAATTTTGTTGTACAAGTATACTGCTTGAATGCAAATCTTTGTGCACTATTTCTCTCTCATGCAAATATTCTATAGCACTTGATAATTGAAAGGCCAATTCATATTTGTCCCTCCAATTTAACGAAGGAAAATTCACCTTCAGATAATTATTAAATGAACCTCCTTCTGCGTATTCTACAACAAGTAAATATTCATCTGAAATTAAAAAAAAAAAGTTATTAGGTATTCACTATTAAGAATATATGTATATAATTAAGTAGGTAGGTAAGGCTAAATTTGTTTAATTCGATAATAACAAATTTATATACCTGAATTAGTCTTACTAGTTATTCCGTACAATTTTATCATCGCGTTATTGAGGTCATTTTCCTGTTGTATTTTTACCTATAAAATAAAATTTTTAGTGACTACATGTTTATATCCGTAAAACACAAGTAATGCATCATGCGTATTTTATATAAATATGGATTGTACGACCTACACGCAGATTTTAAAACTAATTACGTACCTCACGGACAACTTCTTTAATTATTTCATCAGTTAAATTAATTGATTTTAATGCTATAAGTTTTCCATGTTTCCAATTTGCTTTGTATACCTTATTGACTAATTCAACACCCAACTCTTCTATATTAGTAAATTCATCATAATTATAGTATTCTATATTTTTTTCTTTTATATGATGTTCCATCAAATGTATGTGTAAAGTATAGTAATTTAAGACGAGAGTTGTTCTGGCGAACGAATAAAAATTTTAAAATATTTCTCTCTTAACGTATTATTGTGTAACAATGAGTGCTGCATTATGATCATTATAATCAGGCTTATTTATCACATACAATGACCTTTGTAGTACATTTTTAGTTTGGAAGTTGCACTTGAATAAGACCAAAAAAGGGATTTTCTGAAAGTTGTAATTCAATTTTGTATGGTATCACATATGACATAATGACTCCTTTGTTACTACATTTTTTGGGGAGAATTACAGATTATGTTTCTTTATAACGTTACCTGTTAAAAACTAGTAATTTGTAAATTGTCAAGAATTGCATCATGAGCCATTTGACCATTTAAAGGCTTTTTCATTTAATTGGTTGATATTTATCATATGTACATATATTATTGTCATTTATCGGGCACGAATTTTATTTTTTTTACAGAATTAAGAAATCGAATAAACTATAAAAATTTAGGATAAAAAATCATTACGAATAAAATCCTACACTCTTCCGTAATTAATATACTACGCTAATTCTTTTTATAATATGAGGCTTCACCAATTATTTATGCATCTCTTTATTTATTGACAAGCTAAAATGTTTGTCATATATGTTATATATATATGCAGTAAAAAGATTTTGCTGTTTACTCATAAGCACTATTTTATTGTGAGTTTTCTTCCAATTAGATTTATGAGATAAGTTACATGTAAATTTGTATTTTTTGCAACGTTAATATTTACAAAATCACATATCTTTAATACGTGATTCATGTAACTGATTATAAAATTTGCGTAATGGCCAAGTTTTTTGCCAATGAAAAATAAGTTTTACCTGGCTAATTAACTAGCTAAGATGTTGGTTAAACGGTTAAGATTTTTTGTATTAGTTCTAAGCTCTATTTTTTATTAATGTTAATATATATCTAATCAAATTTAAATAAATTTTTATCATTAATGGTGTAAAAATAAATACACTTTTATTGACTGATTAATAAACGTTCACCATAATTTCTTGATGAAAATGCATTATAGGAAATACAATATATTCTATTGTAAGAAACTTCGATTGAAGTGTAAGAAATATTCGAATTACGTCATTTAAATTTTAGGATTTCAACCTCCCCTCCCTATGTCATCATCCATTTTGAAAATGCATTTATAATTATGGCCAGAATTAAATTAACTACAAGTATCCATGCCTCTTGAAACATATTGCAATTGCCACGTTCACGAACTTAAAAAGTGAAATATCTCACTGCTACTTTTACTAAACAAGCGGATCTGGATACTGTTTGTACTTTTGAATCTTTATATTCCTGCCCCTACAGATCATAACCAGGAAAGGCAAATCAAACTCATTGTATGGACCCCTAATGAAATTATTTTAAATTTTAATAGACTCACTTGTGATTTCCAATTTCATTAGACTAAATTTTTATAATTTTGAAGGAATTCCAATAATAATCTATAAATTATAATATTTTATTTATATTAAATACTTGATACCACTAATTGACTATATATGTGATTGATAGTTCAATTATAATAAAATGTTATGACCATTAGAAGACGTAATAATTATGAAGTTATTTGCAATAGTTTCAAAAGTTAATTTTAAAGCAAATAACATTTTATTATAACATTCAATTCTTTCAAATAAGATTGTAAGTTTTGATCAATAATTTTCTCTTTTTTACAAAAGTATAAGGTCAAAAGGTCATCATGCCACTAAAAGATTACATGAATGGTTGTTGTTTAAAAGTGAAAAGGTTTATATTAAAAAGGGAAGGTTAAATTTAGGCCAGTCTGATGATATTTAGATTACCCTCTTGTATAAATAATTTGAATTGCGCAATATGAGATGTGTGATGTGATATGGGGAATTTTTTTATGTAATTGCAGGCCATATCGGATCTCTCTCCTATATAAAAATGAGGACATTAATGTCAGAAATTTTTTTAAAATGTTATATCTTGATCAGAAAATAATGATCCCATTGCACTTGTTTTAATATGTCATTCAGATTGTACCAAAATGCCTTCTTGAGTACAAATAATTTCTCTTCCAAATACTCTTTATTTGTGGGAAATTTAATGCCACTATAATATTTAATTCAATATAAATATCTATCAAAAAAATTCTATGATAAAATTTAATACATTAAATGCTAGCTAATTTTTCCTATTTGATCCTTTTGAAATTCCTATTGTTTAACTCTTTGTATAGCACTTTCTTTATCTTTAATCTTAATTAGCAAATAAAGATTAAGAGAATGTGTTAAATTATTATTTTGCAAATCTGGTTTGTCAACCATATCTTTATCCACCAATCTATGAACTGATGAATAGTTGTCAGAGTTCTTCACCAAATTTTTTGAATTTCTTTTTTAATTCCTTAGCTTTAAAGTTTTTTTTTACTTTTTCTATTGATTTAGAAATATAAAAAATATAATAAATTACATAAGAATAAATTAATAATAATTATATTTATTAATTCTAGAATAAACAGAAATAGATACCTTCAGTTCTGCTTTTTATATTTCCATTCTGTATATCTTCATTTTCTACATCAATTTCCATAATTTCTACATCATCGTCCATTTCATTTTTATTTTCTACATTAATTTCTCTGACTTCTATACCTTCAATTACTTTATCTCTTACTTTCTTTCCTTTAATTAAAGAGGCAAATGATAGTGGAACTGATGTTGAAGATGGTGAAAGTTGAACTTGTGTTGAGAACAAAAAAATTGAAGTTGGGGATGATGATAACATAACATTTTTTTGCATATATTCATTGATTTTTGTGATCCATTTCTCGATTAAACATTTAAAATTTTTTTAGATTCTTCCATTCTGCGTAAATGGGTAAAATATCGGTCCCCCATTTTATATCATCTTTTGTAGGTTATTTAATTTCATTATTGTATCCGAATTTTTTGTGGCATCTAGAATTTAATTTCTCCCAAATTTCATTGATCGGGATCGTCTTCAATTGATTGATTGATGGTGTTTAAATCATTATTTAAAATTGTAATATAATCTTCAAATTTAAAAGGTTTAGAAAAAATCGATATAGTCGGAGATGACATTGGTGGTAAATTATTAGATGCAATAGAAGTTGTAGATGCGTTATCCACTAGACTAGCTTTTTGTTGATAAAACTGTTGAAAATGATCTAACAATGCGTCAGGGTTTCATATTTCCTTAATTCAGACTAAAATAAATTTTAATACTATTTACCAGCAAATCATCATTTTCAGCTTTAAGTGCTTCAAGTTTTTCCTAATATGTATATAAAAATATAAATATAAATTATAGGAAAAAAAAACAAAATTTAATTTTAATAATCTTACCTCTAAATCTTCATAATAGTTATTATCCTTCAAATCAATCATCAATCTATCTTTATGTTTCCCATATATGATGACAGCTGTACGATCATTTATGACAGAAATATTTTTAAGACGGCCTTGGAATTTGTTACGAATGAAAGATAAAGCCGCTGAAATTTTTATATTGTCATTATCGGAAAATAATAATGAAACCGTATTATTACGTACTTTTTTATCCTTAAAAGTTGAATAAATAAACATATTAAAATAACATTACAAATAACTTTATTTTGATTATAATAGCTAAAAGTACAATTTACCTTTATATTGTTTGACATTATAGAAAGTTTTAAAACTTCAAGAAGAACGAACGTACTTTCAAAAAAAAAAAAAAAAAAAAAAAAGGGAATTGTTAACCGTCGCCTGGGTTTTTTTTTTCCAAATATGTCACATGATTTACAATATATAGTAAATCGGCTCTGATTTTTTTAACTTTGATCGGTTAAACTTAAAATTTTATTGCAAAGATATTTTTTAAAAAAATTTTTTGCAAACATATTTATTTGAAATAATCTTATTTAATGAAATTTTATTTTTATTTGCAAATATTAAGATTTAAGTCACACATTTACGATTTTAAAGAAAAAAGTCACCGTATTTATTTTTAATGAAGCGATACAAATAAAAAAAACAATAACAATAAATAAAAAAGATAAATAAATTACAATGATCAAGGAGAAAGATGCTAATAAAAAAATGAAAACAACAACGGAGTAATGGAAAGTAATAGAAGATGAAAAAGATGAAAAAGAGTAATGAGAAGTGATAAGAAACAAAAAGGAGAAATAGGACATGATGAGAGATGAAAAGGAGTGATGGGAGACGAAGAGGAGTGATGAGAGGTAAAAAGGAGTGATGGGAGACGAAAAGAAGTGATGAGAGACGATAAGGAGTAATGGGAGATGATAAGGAGCGATGAGAGACAAAAGGAAGTGATGGGAGACGAAGAGGAGTGATGGAAGGTAAAAAGGGGTGATTGGAGACGAAAAGAAGCGATAGGAAGATGAAGAGGACGAAAAGAAGTGATGGGAGACGAAGAGGAGTGATGGGAGACGGAAAGGAGTGACGGGAGACGAAGAGGAGTGATGAGAGGTAAAAAGGAGTGATGGGAGACGAAAAGAAGTGATGAGAGACCATAAGGAGTAATGGAGCGATGAGAGACAAAAGGAAGTGATGGGAGACGAAAAGGAGCGATGGGAGACGAAAAGAAGTGATGGGAAGATGAAGAGGAGTGATAGGAGACGATAAGGAGTGATGAGAGGCAAAAGGAAATGATGGGAAGTAAACAGGAGAGAAAAAGAGATAATAGAAAATGAAAAGTTGTAATAGAAATAATGGGAGACGAAAGAATGGAATGAGAAGAATGAGAAGTAATACAAAAAATAAAAAAATGATCATGATAGGAGGTTGGGTAATGATAGGAGACCAAGTAAAAAAAATAAAACCATAAAGTAAAAAAAATTAAAGTTAGTAAGAATCGAAATATAAGATAGAAACGAAATTAAAAAAATAAATAAAAAAATAAAAAAACATACCCTTATTAATTGTAGAACTGAAAGAACTAAAATATCTAAAAAAACAATGAAATAAAATTATTGAAAACCGAATTATGAAACAAAATAAAAAAAAATAAAAAATGAGTAGTAAGAAACGAAACGTAAAGTGAAAAACAACTGAACCTTAATTGCAGAACCGGAAGGACTAAAGGACCTAAAAATAATGAAATAGAGTAGTAAGAAACAAAGTGTAAGCAGAATGTAAGTCAGAAATAAGAATAAAAGAAAAGAAAAATACCTTTGAGACCGAAAAAACCGAGGAAACGGAACTAATAAACATGACGCGTTCATGTGGCCAATATGGCCAATCAAAAATATTTAATCTGTCACGTGATCGAAGTTCCAGCCCAGGCCGACGGTTAGCAGTTCCCCAAAAAAATTTATACATTTTTCATACTATAGATACTATAGGTTAAAACTTTTATAAGTCGGAAAAATATTTAATTCGTGATCCGCGTAAAAAGTAGTATAATATTTTGCTTTTATTTGATTACAATTTGCTGTACTTATCCCACCGAAATTTACAAAACATTTATATTGTTTTACCATTTTTTTTCTTTTTATGTTGTTTTTCTGCATCAGTAAGTGTCATGTATTTAAAATATTTAAATGGTTCAAGATCAATAAATTATTTGAAAGAGCATTAATGTTTATGCTCACATAGAACTCAATTTGTTAATTTAATTGTCCAAGTTCGTCAACGATTTCAATATCAATAGAAAAAATAATTCGCTAATACTGTACAACTCCGCATAATTCTTTAAAAGATTTCTCAATCTTTTCGCTTTTATATAAAAATTTTTTAATTTTGTTTAATTTGTGTTATAATAACAAAATTTTATAATTAAAAATAATTTTTATTATCTTTCTATTTTTTTGAACTTATGATTTAGTGCGGAAAAGCCTGCAACATAAAATCGTTGTAATAATACATGACGAGTTCGCTTATTATGTTCAACAGCGCGTCCTAATTCGTTTATTTCATTAATAATTATTTCCAATTTCATTAATTAAAGGAAGAAATGGTGTAAATTCAATATTATTAATAAAAACAATTGTTATTAATCAATATAATTGATATATTGAATTTTTTAATTTGGATAATTAGAAGAAATAGCAATATTGTCTATATTAGGTTGTGTACCGTTAAAAGACAATTATTCTTTAAAAGTTTTTTCAATATTTTTTCGCTTTAATATTTTTTTTTTATCAAAGTATTAATGTTATAAATATCAGATAAATCTTGTAAAAGTAAATAATTTTTAATATTAAAAAAATTTTTTCTATCTTCTTTATATTCTTTAAATGGACTCGTCTTTTTAATATGTCATAAATTTGTTTATTATGTTCAGAAGCTTCTACTAATTTGATGATTGATTTCATTAAAATGTTTCCAATTTCATTAATTAAAGGAAGAAATTTTGTAATAACAATTAAATTATTAATAATAAAGTTCATAGTTATATTAAACTTACTTGGATTTGAATAATTAGAAGAAATAGATAAATCATCACGATTGAATTACTTTTGTCATCAATATTGCGTACATGAGGTTGCGAAGATCAAAAGTATCCTCAATATTTAATTGACTTAGAGTTTCATGTACTACTTCAATATCGGTCTTGATTTTGGTTCGTCATTCCAACATAATTTGATAAAGACTTTAATACTTTGGAGGTGTACGTACCTTCAATTGGTTTTTCTTTATTGCTATCTTTAATGTGATCGTTAAGTAAATTTCGTGGATAGCCAGAAAAAGGACGACGCCCACTTGAAACTTCTCATAATAAAACACTTAAACTATAAATATCGGACTTCTTACCTTTTTTATGGTTAATATTTTTAAAACATTGTGGTTCAATATATTCAACGACCTCATCTCTATTACCCACTGAATTAGTTATAACCTCCGCCAACTTTTTAGATAATCCAAAATCTGCTATTATTAATTTTCCATTATTTACCAATATATCTTTGAGTGCTACAAAATAATGACAGTATTAATTAAATTGTCGAAAACAAAATCACGAATAAAATACTATAAAGAAATATTCCTTTACCAAGTCTATGGATTATTTCTTTGAAGTGTAAAATTTCAACCCAGTGGTAATATTCGAATTTTATCATTCCATTTCATGGAAACAAAATTTTTTCTCAAGTAACCTTTTAAATTTCCTCCATTAGCATATTCCAACACCACCAAAATATAATACTCAGAATCTATTAATTATAAATATTAATAAGTTAGATTAAACTGTATAAATAAAATTATTATTAAAAATAATCTTAACATAATCCTTTTATTTTTCCAAGAAAATGATTGATGCTTAGATGATTATCAACCTCGCGAAGGAGTTTCAAAAAAAAATGATAAACTATATATACTAGCAATATACCATACAACATAAAAAAAAATGATTTCTACCTCCTTCACAAACTCATCATTAAACTCATTATGTTCCTCTTCTGAATTTTCACTACAAATAATTTTCAATGTGACCAATCCGGCCAGTATTAGTCAAAATTTGCCCCTATAAAAAATTTTTCGGAAAAATGATCACGTGTCTGAGTTTCTTCGGAATAAAAATTAGAAAAATGATCATTTACCGGAGTTTTTTCCAGAATCTTTTTTATAGGGAATTGTTTTATTCACTATACCGAACCTTCTTCTACCAATTATGGAGATTTGACTAAATTTATCTTATTCAAAATAGCGGATATACAACCCATTCTTAATCTTTTCTTCAATCCATTCTTTTACTGAAGTCATTTCATCATTTGAAATTTTTATTTTTTATATTAAATTATTTTTTTTTTAAAAAAAAAAAAAAAAATTTCAACGTTTTAGAAATTTTTCAATGAGGCATTATTGTATTTATGCACTTGTGTCTTAGTCTTTGAGCTACAACATGTCCGAGTACATAATTGGAAAGAAAAAAATGAATTTTATAACTATACTGTACACGTTGCATTGATCAACTGCATAATTCCTAATTTTAGTTTGGCCCAGTAATGGTGTAGCTAGCCGAAAAATAATTAGCCGCAACGTGATCCGGACACCATTATTTTCATAACTCGCTTATTTAATAAATTAGTAAAATATAACCGATAATCACTAACTTTTTCCGAATAAAATTATTTTAAAACTTCTAAATAAGAAGCTTATAATTAAATTAAAATTTACTAATACATTCGGTCAAAAATTTGTGAGAAAACAAGTCGTCGAAAAGTGGTTAGCGACATATTTTATAACGAAACAAATTCTTTTATAACAAAATTTTTGAAATTTTGAGTACGAGCGTTTGAGAGTAAAATAGAAAAAGTATATGGTAAATTTCCTAAGTTTTTCCATCGAGATCCTAGATTGAATATGGAAATGACGAAATTTTTATTAAAATACCATGAAGAATTACATGTAAACTACAGTATATCGAAAAGATATTGAAGTTTGAAACTATAGGAAGACAAAATTCGGACTGGCTCCGTGAGGCGCAGCAAACGAACAACAGGAAACTAGACATATGATCTTGACAGTTTCATTGGTAAGAAGTAATAATTATGAATTATGAAATTTTCTTTATTTCATTTTTTTTTTCTTGTAATTTGACAGTCGCTCGTTGCACTGAGATTTTTTTTTATATAAAACAATCTAAATGTGACGGTATATTATTTTGTATGCAATTGTAAAAAATCTTGTTCAATATGAGCGTTGTTCGAGTCACCCATAGCGATCCATGCAATTTATAATTTAAGTTTTAATTGGCTAATTTTTATAATTATAATTTGCTTACCATAATTTTTAATTTTTTTAATTCTAAAATAAATAAAGACGATGATAAAAGAAATATAATAAAGTAAATATAAAAATGCAATCAATTAGTTAAAGATAAAATTAAATAACTGAAAGATCAAGAATAAGATACACCTAGAGATCGATACAGAATTTTTAATAAAATTTGAATGGATGGGAAAGTTGTATTATCGTTATCTATAAAAATTCTCAAAAAAAAAAAAAAAAATCTGTACTATAAATTTATAATAAAAAAATCCACTAAGAAATAAAAAAGCATATCCGTGCGATCTATGTTCTATCTAAAAATAATTTTCCTTTTTTTTTTTACAAAATTTTTTTTTTTTTACGCAAAAAGTTTCGTCCTTAAAACAAGCTTTTTTTTTTGAGATCCTTTTAAAAGTAGAAAAGAAATTGCAAAAATACTATATATAATTTTACACGAGAAAAAGAATTTCAAAGGTTATAATGGTAATTATTCAGGTAGATTTTCTGTAAAATACAAAAGCACAATTTTAATAAAAAAAAAAATTTTTATTTTAATACAAGTTCAATAATAATTCTTTAAATATTTTATTGTTACTAGACGTGATTCTGCAAAAGAAACAACTTGATAGAGTCGGTTATCCAAATAGATTTTTGGTTATTCTTTGAATTTACGAAAAACAAAAAGAAACAAGATTATTAGATGTATTTTCGAGTAAGCACACTTGTTTTGCCTAAAATAATCACCAATTTCTTGCTAGTACTTAAAAATTAATTTTTATCCAATATAATTATATTAATAAATCACTTTTAAATCATTTAAAACTACTTGAACCATTTAAAACAATACAGTATATTCTAATGATAGTTTCGTCTATTAGCGAAATTATCAATAAAATGATCAACATATAAAAATATGAAATGTCAATTTGTGATGATCAATCAACGTGCGACGACAATTGCGACATTTTCAACGACTGTTATCAGTTATAACAAAAAAAAAAAATCACTAAAAATCTCACTTATAATAATTTTATTTAGTTAATTTACCAAAACCTTCATTCAATTTAACAAAAAAAAATAAACAAAACATATTTATATTAATAATCAACCGAAAATATGGAATAGATCAGGCGCAGACGTATCACACACCTGCACAATCGGATAAATTTAATGAAAATCAACCGAAAAATTCGAAAAAAAAAATAATTAATAATCAATTTAGTACAAATTCATAGATAAGGTTTGGATTAAAAAAGATTAAAAAAAATGATGCGAAAACATGTCAAAATTTTTGTTATACGTAATACGTTTGTTATCAGATGCAAAAAGGAGAATTTAATTTAATTCGTACATAACAACACATGCATAAATGTAACTTCGGATCGGAAGAACGTAATAAATTACCGTTTTATATATTATGTAGTAAATAACAAGTAATTGAAATCATTGAATCGATACTAAATTCAAAACTGCGCAAATAACTAGTGAATATTTAGAATCCTATTGTATAATATATAATAAAATTCTCGTAGCTTTTCCATTCATTCGCATAAGAATTCATATTTGGTTATTTCATT